TCACAATACCACCTCTAACAAACAATATATATATATATATATGTATATATGTATATATGTATATGGAGATGTTATACTTATCATCTGTTTTTTTCTTTTTTTCTTTTTTTACCACCTTTTACAATTAAATTTATTATTATTCAATCAAAACCAAATCAACGGTTACAAAATTAAATCAAGTGAGAGTCATTGATTTGATTTTGATTCAAGGATAACAAAATTTGTTATAAGAGGCTATAAGAAAAAAAAACAAACGATTGTCCAGCTCCTGCATGGCAAGGAGTATAATTTGCCTTGGTTCTCAGGGCCGAAGATTAGGATAGAAAAATATCTTCTTTTCTTTGAAGTTAACCCAACCCTATTTACATTTTGAGGTGAGTTGGCTCCCCGGTATCCCCACAAGCTTCGATTCTTTGAGCCGGCTATTAGACTAATCCGGAGTGTGGGGCGGGTCAGGGATGAAGATATTTAAACCCCTCCCAAAAGTAACGTGTGGGTTTCGAACCGAGACCCTTTCTTTTTTACTTACTCAACTCCTTTGCTACCAACTGAGCTATCACCATTTGGACGGAAAAATATCTTCAGTTTCACCTTATCTTACTTTAATCGGCAAGTCAAAAAGTCCATTAATCTTAGTGCCAAACCTCGAGTATGTTACATGCTATTATATGTCGTAGCTAGAAAACTTAGGACTATATAAGGTAGTAATGTATAAGAACAAAGAACTAAAGAGATCTAGCCCATGCAACATCAATTATACCTTATTATTGAAGGTCCATGCAACTACAATATTTGCTTTCTACCTCTTTTGAATCATATTATCATATCCAAGAACTTAGAAACGGATAAAACTGATGTCACTCAATTGGTTTTATATATCTCTAAAATGCTTTTTCACACGAGAGTCTACTAGGCATGAAGGGTGGACACAGCCTCACTCACAAGCTTAAGCTTTTGGGTTGAATTGACTTTTTACATGGTATCAGAACCTCGGTGTCACGGATTCGATCCTCACCGCCCCTTATTTAATTAAGAAATAATTAAGTCTTGTAGAGTTTCTTAGCACAGGTAGGTGGGCCTGTGCATTGTCCATCCTTCAAACCCAGTAAGCTCTTATGTCAGGGGGCGTGTGAGAGATATATAAAATCATTAATATAGCCTTACCCAATAGCTTAAGTCGGTATTAGAGCTCTATATTCTAAGGGCTCTGCTTCTGCAATTGTTGCCTTTAGAATGAAACCCTATTTTCTTGGGGACCTTTTGGACCTAGAGGACTATTAATTGACTTTATTTTCTCAGATGTATCAATCTACGGATGTTTCCCAATCATCATACGATCACATCAGTTCAAAACAGTGCAAACCATTATTGTTCATCACTGAAAAGTATTGTTTCGGTGACCTTTTGAGCTCCAATCAGCCTCAAACAGGATCACAACCTCCGGGTGACCCTACAGTGAAAGGCCCAGCTCCAGCCGACCATCGACGCGCTCTCACGTTGCATCCTTCTCTTTACGCGTGACACCAACGCCCCGACAACCTCACTGGCAGATGACGGCAAGTCTCCGCCTCAGACCATTATCGTTCTGCTTGTCTCTTCTTGCTTTGTCTGGATCTCTGCTTGTCTCTTTGATCAGATATCGTTTGGGTGTGCTTTAGGTTGATTTTGTTGCTATTTTTGACTTTTCCTTTACATTTTGGCCGATTTCGCTGGTGATTTGACTGTTTCACCGCCCCCACTATCTTTTGTGGAATTTCTTAGAACAAGTAGGTGGGCCTATGTATTGTCCACCCTTCAAGCCCGTTGGGTTCTCGTGTGAGGGAGCATATTAGAGATATATAAAATTATTAAGGTAGCCTCGCCCACAAGTTTAAGTTTTTGGGTTGAATTGGTTTTGTACATGGTATCAGAGCCTCGATGTCACAGGTTTGATTCTCACTGCCCCCATTTAATTAATAAATAATTAAAAGTCTTGTGAAGTTTTTTAGCACAGGTAGGTGAACCTGTGTATTATCCACTCTTCAAGCCCGGTGGACTCTCATGTGAGGAGACGTGTTAGAGATATATAAAACCACTAATGTAGCCTCACAAAATAGCTTACGTTTTTGGGTTGAATTGGTTATTTACAGTGGCTTATGAATAAGATAAAAAAGTTGGATGGCTATATCTTGGTTGTGATCATCTCAAGAGCACCTTGTACTAACTACCAATAATCAAATCTGTTCATGAGGCTTGTTTGGTTGAAAACTGTCCTTCATCAAGTTTTGAAAACATTGATCATGTCAAGGAGTAGATTAGTTGTCTTTATTCAAGTTGATGGATCATTGATCAGCTTGATTATTTCTGATATGCCTCCAGCATATGATGTTTTAAAGGCTAAAATAAGCAAGAATTCAATCTTAATTGAGTGAAAAAGACATGTATTTGTAATAAAGATTGTGAATCCATTCTCAAACTCTTCTCATTAAAAATCTTGTGTTTAGTAGGTATAATTACATTGAAAAGAGAGCAATACAAGAGCAAAATAAAGGAAGTTCCAGTTTAACCGTGCTATCAGCGTCAAGCTAGCACAAAGAACGCCAAAGTATGATGAAGCCACTGTTTGCTCGCGCTAATAGCGCTGGACTGGCGCCAGAAGTGCCAGTAACTCGAAAAAAACTGCGCTAATAGTGCAGGAATGGCCTTACCAAAGCCAATGCATAATGAATCCTCTGCTTAGCTACGCTAGCGGGAGTGGCGCTACCAGCACCAAAAGCATGTGAGTTAAGTGGATTGCAAATTTTAATCGAATATTGATATCTTGGTGAAGATTTGGGGGTAGATTTGGAGTTAAGTATATAAAAGAAGAACTAAGCCCATTATTAAGGCATTCAACAAATGTGAATAAAGGAGGTGAAGGAGATAGGAGAGCTGGAGAATTATAAAAATTCAGAGAGAGAACACTTGAAGAATGAAGCAACATTGAATTCTTTTCTTCTTCTTCTTCATGACTTCTTCTATTTTCTTTTCTTTCTTTTTTTGTTTAAGCCAGCTATGCTTGGCTAAGTTTATTTTGTAGTTAGGGTTATGGATCCAACGTGAATCCTTGTTTAGTTTAAATTGTCTCTTTAATAAATTGTCTCAATTAGTTTGTATTGAATCATAGGTCAATAATCAATATTTCATGAAAACACATCATGCATATAAACCATCCCTCCATGAGGTATGGTGGAACCAACAATGAGTAAAATCGAGGACATGAAAGCTTACCTCGCAAGCTAACAATCCAAAGTCAAGAGTCCACAACTGTCCCAAGGTCCACAAACAGCACTCTCACAGTCTGTTGATAAACCCTTGGTTTATAAGGTTTTAAAGCATGAATTAGCTTAATTTGTGTGATTAAATGGATGGAAAAAAGGGTTAATGTCCTGGAAAGTCCTAAATACAAGTTCTGAAAGTTATGTTGAAAATTTACATTGTTCTTGTAGGAAAGTGAATCTCAAGAAGCAAAAGAGAGAAGGAAGAAGATTCTGAAGAAATTGGAGAATTCAAGTGTTGAGCGCTAAAACATCCAAATCAAACGTTTTAGCGCGCTACTGCAGAATGAAGCCAAAAAGTTCTAGTGCTGAGTGCTAAAACGGCCAAAGCAAACGTTTTAGCGCTCTGTTGTTCAAAAAGATTCGGGTCTCAAGCGCTAAAACGGTCAAGTCAAATGTTTTAGCGCTCTAGTGTTCAATAAAATGTCAAAATTCCCTGGAAGTGTGCGCTTTAGCGGTCAGGATGAATGTTTTAGCGTTGAGGACAGTTAAAATTAGTTGGGTATCCGTCGAGTTAAGCGCTAAAACGTCCAACAAGGAACATTTTAGCCCCCATGTCAGTTTTTGGATGTTATTTCAGTTTTGGAACTTGAAAACTATAAAAGGACAAGGGGCCTTCACACTTGGGGATCTGATCTGACTTTTCATTCTCTGAATTTCAAAATTCCTTAGGTTTTAGTCTTGTATTAGTTTAGTGTACTTTATGTAATTGTGATTGAAGATTGAAGATTCAACAACATGACAATGGAGTTTGATCTTTCCTCTCCTCTTGTTATTTCTATTTCTATGTCTGAGTAGAGTCCTTTGTAGTTGGATTTCAATGGAACTTAAAGATGAATTTATGTATGGTTGATTGAATATTATGATTATCTTTTATGTGATGATATAAAATTGTCTTTATCAATCCTTTCCATTAAGGGAGTAGTCTAGAACAGGAATGTTTACATTATTTCTGTAACTGACAATTTCATCATCAGTGTTCTATTATTCAAGGGATTGGAATTAGGACTCTGATGTAATCTTTAAAATCTTAGTGCTTAATGTATGTATTAAGAAGGAAATTACCAAGGGATTGGGGTTTTTGATTAATGTATCAACCAAGATAGTAAGGGATTACATCTTGGTGATAATAAAAAGGTTGATTGACATCACATGGGAGATAACTCATAATTAGATCGATTCTTACATAAGTTTATGGTTGAGGGACATTGATTTCTTACTACTTGTTGTAAAATTATAATTCACATTTTAGTTATTTTACCAATTCCAAATATAATTCAAATTCTGGTGACAATTATCAATGCATTCAATGAATTCTTGTTTGATTCAACTTAATTATAAATGGTTAGTTGGTGTTTGAACACAAATCCTCGTGGGAACGATATTTACTTATCATTTTATTACTTGTACGACTAGTACACTTGCTAAAGTCGCAACAAGTTTTTGGCGCCGTTGCCGGGGATTTGTTCTTTCAACATTGACAGACACCATAATATTTGAGATTGAATTTTTATTTTCAACAATTTATATTTATGTGTGAAGTTTTGTTCAATTCCAATTCTGGTGTATGCGAGGTACTATTAATCAAACTCTTTGTTGTTTGATTCAGAATTAAAAAAGACAATTAGGAAGAACAGAAAGGCAGCAAGACAAAGGAAATTACAAGAAAGGGGTGAATCCAGTGTGACAATTCAGAAAGAGGTCATGGAAGAAAATCATAGGCCACCACCACAGAGGACATTGGGAGATTTCATGACTCCCACTGTCATTCGACCAATTGGGAGTGTTGTTGGACCCAATGTGGAGCCCAACAACTTTGAGTTGAAACCTGCATTAGTACAATTGGTGCAGAAAGAACAATTTGCTGGCACTAGTGCAGAAGACCCCTATCTGCACATTGAGAATTTCTTACTTTTGAGCGATATGGTGAAGATCAATGGTGTGACTAGAGATGCTATCTTGTTAAGATTGTTCACTTATTCACTGAAGGATGATGCAAGAAGATGGTTACAATCATTACCTCAAGGAAGTATCACAACTTGGGATGATCTGCAGATTAAGTTTTTAGCCCGGTTCTTTTCAGCATCAAAGAGGGCAAAATTGAAGGATGAGATTACATGGTTCAAACAAAAAGAATTAGAGTCTATCTATGAAGCTTGGGAGAGATTCAAAACACTCTTGAGAAAATGTCCACAACATGGAATCGAAGTGTGAAATCAAGCAGCAATATTTCTCCAAGGGTTGACAACCAACACATGAACATTGGTGAATGCCACAGCTGGTGGTTCATTAACAACCAAGACTCCTCAGAAAGCCCTTGACATATTTGAATCTCTAGCATCTCAAGAATTTGACAATGCTCCAGTGAATGATAGAAGAACGGGAATTATAAAACTTAATGGGTATGATGCTTTGTTAGCCAAGAATGATCAGATGATGCAGATGCAAAAACAACAATAACAAAAGTTGGATGCTCTCACTAAGCAGCTATTCTCTCAAAATGTTGCTTCTGTGGACACTAATTCTGTGTGTGCAATTTGTGGAAAAGGCCATGTTACAGAAGATTGTGATTATGGGGGATCTGCAGAACAAGCAGAAGTGAATGGGGTATGGTATGATCAGAGGAACCAAAACAACCAGGGGCGAAATTTGTATGTTCCACCATGGAAGAATAGAAATCAACACCCAGGGTTCAGTTATAGTTCTAATCATCAGTTGAATCCTCCACTGCATCCTCCTCCACCACATTCTTCTCAACAAGGTGATACCTCTGCATGGGAGAAGGCTTTTGCACAGTTATCTAAGACCACTACAGAATATATTCAGGGTTAAAATTCTTTTTGAGAAGAAACTTCTGCATTCATGCAAAAGACAAAAACATCATTCAGGAACCAGGAAGCATCCATCCAGAATTTGGAGACCCAAATTGGTCAGTTGTCCAGACAGATATCTGAGAGATCATAGGGAAAGTTTCTTGGTGATACACTGGTGAATCCAAAAGAGCCTTGTAAATCCATTATTTCCAGAAGTGGGCTTGTACTTCAGCCGGTTAAGAAGAAAGTGGAAGAAAAGAAAGAGGAGGAAGAAGTTGTTGTTGAAGATGATGAAGTTGAGAATGATGAAAAAGAAAATGTTAAGGAAGATAAGAAAGAAGATGAAGTAGTTGTTGAAAACAATTCTTCCCCCAAGAAGTTGATGAAGTGGGAGAAGAAGAAAATGGCTGACAAGCAAGACCAGCCAATTAATCTATCTCCACATGCCAAAGTTCCTTATCCTCAGAGGTTGAAGCAAGAAATTTAGAAACAGCATTATGCAAGGTTTCTGGATATTTTCAAGAAACTACAGATCAACATTCCATTTGCTGAAGCCTTGGAAAACGTGCCCCACTATGCAAAATTTATGAAGGATCTTTTTTCCAAGAAGAGGAAGTTGAAAGATGGTGAGACTGTTGCTTTAGCGGAGGAATGTAGCGCCCTTATTCAAAAGAAGCTTCCTCCGAAGTTAAAAGATCCAGGTAGTTTCAGCATTCCTATTGCTATTGGAGATGTGGAAGTAGGAAAAGCACTTTGTGACTTGGGGGCCAGTATAAATTTGATGCCATTATCTGTCTGCAGAGCTTTGGGGATTAAGAAGTTGAAAACCACTAATGTTATTCTACATCTAGCAGATATATCAATTAAGAGACCATAAGGGGTGGTAGAAGATGTTCTGGTCAAAGTGGATAAATTCATTTTCCCTGTAGATTTTGTAATACTAGATATGGAAGAGGAGGATACTGAAAGTCCACTACTCCTAGGGAGACCATTCTTAGCCACTGCAAGATCTCTGATTGACGTTAAACAAGGAAAGTTGATGTTAAGGGTGAATGAAGAAACAGTCATCATTGATGTGTTTGAACCTATTAAACATTTTGTTGATGTGGAGGATTGTTTCAAAGTAGATGTCATATAGGAGGCTGTGGAATAAGCGATAGAAGAGGAAAACTCTTCACTTGAGGAAGACAAATTCAAGGAGGAAACAAGTGTAGAATACTTTACGGAAGAACCGAAAGTAGAAGAGTTAGAAAAGAAAGTAGATGATATTCCTATGGGAGCACCCAAGGTGGAACTTAAAGAACTTCCTTCAAATCTCAAGTATGTGTTTCTTGGAGATGATCAAACATACCCAGCCGTCATTAATGTGTTGTTGTCTGAAGGGGAGGAAGTAAAGTTGATTGAAGTGCTTAAAAAGAACAAGACAGCCATGGGATGGTCATATTCAGACCTCAAGGGTATTAACCCTTCTTTCTGCACTCATAAAATATTGATGGAAGAAGAGGTTAAACCAGTAAGGCAACCACAGAGAAGACTCAATCCTACTATGAAGGAGGTAGTGAGGAAGGAAGCGGTGAAGTTGCTTGATGCTGGAATGATCTACCCTATTTCAGATAGTGCTTGGGTGAGTCCAGTGCAGACAGTGCCTAAGAAAGGAGGAATAACTGTTGTGAGGAATGAGAATAATGAATTAATTCCCACAAGAACAGTCACTGGCTGGAGAATGTGCATAGATTACCGGAGACTCAACTTAGCAACCCGGAAGGACCATTTCCCTATTCCATTCCTAGATCAAATGCAAGAGAGATTGGCAGGACATGTTTTCTACTGCTTTTTAGACGGATACTCAGGCTACAACCAGATAGTTGTGGCTCCAGAAGATCAGGAGAAAACTGCATTCACTTGCCCCTATGGAATCTTTACATACCGGAGGATGCCTTTCGGCTTATGCAATGCACCTGCGACTTTTCAAAGGTGCATGCTTTCTATATTCTCTGACATGGTAGAAAAATGCATTGAAATTTTTATGGATGATTTTTCTGTGTTTGGTCCTACTTTTGATGCCTGTCTAGAAAATTTGGATAGTGTTTTAAAAAGATGCCAAGATTGTAATCTTGTATTGAATTGGGAAAAGTGTCACTTCATGGTGACAGAAGGCATTGTTTTAGGACACAAGGTGTCAAAAAGAGGAATTGAAGTGGATAAAGCCAAAATCTCTGTTATTGAGAAACTTCCCCCTCCCATCAATGTCAAAGGTGTGAGAAGTTTTCTTGGTCACGCGGGTTTTTATAGACGCTTTATAAAAGATTTTTCAAATATTGCAAAACCTTTATGCAAGTTGTTGGTGAAAGAACAAGAGTTTGGGTTTACTAATGAATGCCTTCATGAATTTAGCATTCTGAAAGAAAAATTGATCACTGCACCCATAATAATGGCACCTGATTTTTTATTGCCTTTTGAATTGATGTGTGATGCAAGTGATTATGCTGTGGGAGTGGTGCTAGGCCAAAGGAAAGACAAATTGTTGCATGTCATATACTATGCTACTAAAATTCTTAATGATGCACAAAAGAATTATGCTACTACAGAAAAAGAATTATTGGCTATTGTGTATACATTTGACAAATTTAGGTCATACCTGCTAGGATCAAAGGTGATTGTTTACACTGACCATGCAGCTTTAAAGTATTTGTTAACCAAGCAGGATGTTAAGCCCAGGTTACTCCGATGGATGTTACTTCTACAAGAGTTTAAAGTGGAAATCAAAGATAAAAAGGGAGTTGAAAACTTGGTGGCTGATCACTTTTCCAGGATCACAGAGAAAAATCTACAAGAAGGATCGGAAGTAGTGATTAAAGAAGAGTTCCCTGACAAGCAAATACTGGCCATAAGCACTGTTTCTGAGTTGGTGCAGGATCAAGTCTTGACAATTAATAATTCACCATGGTTTGCAGATTTTGCAAATTACAAATCTGCTGGAGCAATGCCTAAAGATTTCACATGGCAACAAAGGAAAAAATTTCTGCATGATGCAAGGAGATATATTTGGGATGAACCATACCTCTTCTACAGGTGTTCAGATGGGGTAATCTGAAGATGTATTCCAGAGGAGGAACAACAAGATGTCTTATGGCACTGTCATCGTTCAGCTTATGGTGGACACTCTGCAGGTGAAAGAACCGCAACAAAAGTTTTAATGAGTGGCTTCTATTGGCCAACATTGTACAAGGATGCAAGGAAGTATGTGGAAGCATGTGATAACTGTCAGAGAACTGGTAATATATCCAGGAGACATGAAATTCCATTGAACAATATACTGGAAGTGGAAATCTTTGATGTTTAGGGTATGGATTTCATGGGACCCTTTCCCTCTTCCTACTCCAATAAGTACATCCTGGTGGCAGTGGATTATGTCTCAAAATGGGTTGAAGCCATAGCCACACAAACTAATGACTCTCGGGTTGTGATCGTATTTCTAAAAAAGAATATCTTTGTGCGATTTGGAGTTCCGAGAGCCATAATCAGTGATGGGGGAACACATTTTGACAACCGGTTGGTAGAAGTTGCTCTTGCAAAATATGGAGTCAGGCATAAGATATGTACCCCATACCATCCACAAACTTGTGGTCAGGTTAATATTTCCAACAGAGAACTTAAGCGTATACTGGAAAAGACTATTGGAAATGCTAGGAGTCAATGATCCAAGAAACTTGATGACACCTTAAGGGCTTACCGTACAACATTCAAGACTCCTATTGGAATGTCTCCATTTCAATTGTTATCTGGGAAAGCATGTCATCTACCGGTAGGGTTGGAACACAGAGCATTGTGGGCTGTCAAGTTCTT